GACCTACAGAAGCCTTCATTATGTGTCCCCTTGCCTACTCAGCCAGCATCATCTCTTACTTTCTCTAATTATCTAATAGAAGTTTTCTAGATGATTGTGTTTTCTTATAATTACAGAAGCCTTCATTATGTGTCCCCTTGCCTACTCAGCCAGCATCATCTCTTACTTTCTCTTATTATCTAATAGAAGTTTCCTAGATGATTGTGTTTTCTTATAACTCCAAATATTTGCATACAGCAACAAATAAGAGTAAACACCTTTATCTGTGCCAGACATTCTTCTAATTTTCAGAGTCCTATGGTAGATATCATTATCGTGCCATTTTATGGGCGGGAAAATTGCAGTTTACACTGCACTTTAGAGAAGTTAAGTCACTTGCCCAAGGTTACAGAGCTAATGTAGAGCTACGCTATAAATGCTCCAAAAATACCTTCCCTATGTGGTTGTCTTCTACTGGTCCTAATATCTCCACTGGCACCTCCTTCTATCTCTAACCATCCTGCCTGGGTTATGCATCCCTCTTCCATGGGCCTATAAAGCACCACATGCATATCTGTCAGAGCCCTATTGATGCCTTCTCTGCCCATTTTTCCAGTAGACTGTGGTCCCTCCAAGCACAGGAATTATACCTTCTATCACTATATTCTTATTGTCTGCAACATAGCAGATGCTCAGTAAATGTATCTGAGTGAACATTGATACTGATTTGACTTGGAATATCTTGAGTATAAGAAGATTCAGAACCTAGATAAAGTCAAGGAATCTCTCCATGAAGGAATCTGGGGCAAGGGAGGGGCAGAGACAGAGAAGGGGGCATTATCAATCATACTGTCTAGCCAATGTTCAGTGTTGTGTGAGTTACTGCCAGGGATACAAGATAACAAAAATTAAAGGCTCCTGCTCTTAAGGAGCCTTTAATGGGGAAGATATTGTAGAACACAGAACTGACAGTGTAACAACATGGTGAAGACCAAAAGCTCTGGATTGAAGCGAATGGGTTCAAAACTTGGCTCCACCAGTTACAAGGTATGTGAGCTAACCTAAGTGTGAAGTTTCACCTCTTGAAACTTAAATTTCTTCCTTTTTAAAATGGAGATGATCCCGTTTTATAGTTGTGAGGATTCAGTAAAATAGTCCATAGAAAGTGATAAGCACATGCTTGGTCATTATGGTAACTTGCAACCAATAAAAATCCTATGGTTATCAATACTAAAATAAAGAAATATAAACTAAACATGCTCTTCAAGGAGGGTGGTAGTGGCCTGGTTTAACTGAAGATATCACAGCAGAGAGGCATTAGGCCAAGTCCTGAAAGGATGTGTATTGTTTTGGGCAGAGGAAGACAGGATAGCGATTGGTGGTTTATCAGTCTATCACCTCCATGAGATTTTGAATTGCCTGAATGTAGGCTTTTATATCTTATAGATCTCTATATTTCCAGTGCCTCCTTTGCATCTAGCATAGAACTCATGCTTGATGAATGTTGTCATATGAGAAAATAAATAAATCCCAGGGGAAAAAAGCTAGGAGAAGGAGATTTGAGAACAATGCAATGTGCTCTTAGGAACATGAGAAGACTGGCTTGTCGATAGCAGGGTCTTCGCATTGAAATAGGAAGAAGTAAGGCTTGGTAGATTATGGGCCAGACAAGAAAAGACCTTGAAAACCAAGCAGGACCCAACTAAAAAATAGGCAAAGAAGCTGAATAGACATTTCTCAATAGAAGACATACAAATGGCTGACAGGTATCTGAAAAAATGCTCAATATCACCAATCATCAGAGAAATGCAAATTAAAACCACAAATGAGATTTATCTCACCCTAGTCAGACTGGCTATTAACAAAAAAACAGAAAGTAAATGATGGCAAGGATGTGGAGAAAGGGGGACCCTTACACATTGTTGGTGAGACTGTAAATTAGTACAGACATTATGAAAATAGTATGGAAGTTTCTTAAATAAGTACAGATATAAATACCTACCATACGACCCGGCAATCCCACCACTGGGTATATACTCAAATGAAAGGAAATCAATGCGTTGAAGGGATACCTGTACTTCCGTGATTATTGCAGCTCTATTCACAATAGCCAAGATCTGGAACTAACCTAAATGTCCATCAGTGGATGAATGGATAAGGAAAATGTGGTATACATATAAATGGCATACTAGGCCATAAAAAGGAATGAAATTTGGCCATTTGCAGAGCATGGATGAGCATGAAGGAAGTTATGTTAAGTGAAATAAGGTAGGCACAGAAAGAGAAATACTGCATGTTCTCACTTATATGTGGGGGCTAAAAAATAATAAGTTGAACTTTTAGAAGTAGAGAATAGAACTAGAGGTAGGAAAGATGGGGTGGAGAGAATGAGAGGTTTGTTGATGGACACAAATTTACAGCTAGATAGGAAAAATAGGTTCTAGTGGTGTACAGTAGTGCTAGGCATCTATAACAGTAATTTATTGTATATTCTAAATGGCTAGAAGAGAGGAGCTTAAATGTTCTCATCACAAAGAAACGATACATTTTTACAATGATAAATTTGCTAACCACCCTGATTTGATCACTACACATCATATACATGTATTGAAACATAACTGTACCCCACAAATATATAGTCAACACACTTCAATTAAATTAAAAAATAAAAAATGGAAATAATTATAAAAAGAAAATCAAGCAGGAAAGCTCCTGTTCAGTAGTGTTCCTGACCTTTCTGGATCGCAGTCCCTTCTTATAGTCTGATGAAGACATGGATTCTTTTAAAAAATGAAAATAAACATAAAATTGCACAATAATTCCTATGAATTAGCTCTGAAGACCAGCTGGGGGTTGACCCTCTACCTATTCATAACTACTGATTTAAGAAGCCTACATTTATTACCTGATATGCTAGTTCCAAAAAAAATTATTTATAAAAGAAAGAAAATAGTGAAAAATTTCAATAACATCATGCACTAAAGAAATGTGGTGTATTTCACATTCCCTTTCTGTGTAAGGAAAGAAGTCCCTCCCCCACCCCAACACAATGAATTTTATTTTAATCTTTGAGAATGATGAAGAGAATTATTTTCTCTCTAAAGACAATTTATTTGTTTTGGAGTAATTTGGCTATTGAGAAAAAACAAGCTCATGTATTTCTCATGTCAGTAAATATGTGAATTCAGCTTTGACAAACTTCACAATTATATCACTTTCAGGTTACAAAACACTTTCACAAGATTATCTCACGTAATTCTTATAACAATTACATGGGACAAGACAAGCATCATTTTCATTGTACTGATGTAGAACATGAGATTTGCCCAAAGTCACACAGTTAAGTGGCACAGCTCAAATAAAACACTTTAAAAGTAAGACTCTCTAGAAAATCAGGGACTAAACAGTATTTTTTTAACAATTTAGGAAAAAAAGCAAGAATATCTGAAAAGTGAGGCCAAATTAATACCTTTCCCTCACAGATCCCTACATATTTTTAAATTTTATGAAATAATTTTATAAAACATATTTTATAATATTTAACCTATAAAAGTAATAATTTGTTTTGAAAAACTAAGAAGCACAAAAAAAAATCATACTTCCATAAGACTAAGATAATTATCGCTAAAAATTTCCACCATACCTGTGTAATTTTTTGCCTATACATCTATATGTAGAAATATAAAAAACTGGAATCATATTACACATTGTTTGGCAAACTGCTTTTTTTACTTAATAATTTGAAATTTTTTTCATGTTATTGACTAGACTGTTACATTTTCATTGAAGAAAGTAATCTGAATATCTAAATATTGTGATAACCTGAGCCTCTGATTTCTGCCGATTATAATAAAGCTTACTGGGTCTGACTTGTTTATATTCAGGAGGCTGCTTTTCTGACTTGAGAAGTTAATCTGCCATAATCACTACTGTTGGTAATAGTAAACCAGCATGGGAAATTTTCCCTGACTTTAGATAAGCATGAAATTGTCTCCATCTTCCACAGCAAGTTGGAATCACTGGAATAAAAAGACGCTTACCTTTGTTTGTCTAGGTGCACAACCAGTTTCTTTGACATTCCAAGATGGCTGACATTTCCTAACAAAAGAAAAGATCTTCTTACTCAAAATAAAGAGAAGGAAATTCCCCAAGAAATAAAAATTAAACACTTTACATAATCTACAAAATCTTAAGCCAAATGATTAAAGAATAACTTTATTAAGTATTTGTCAGTTTTAAGAAGTGCCCTCCATTACTAACCAAATAATGTATTACAAATAACTAGTTATGAGGTTTTACATTTGTTTAATAGGGAATAATTGGCCCCAATTAAACTGACTAAACTAAGGATTTTTAGATTACTAAAACAAATTAAACTTTTTAAAATGAGAATTTAGGTGATCTTAAAACCTTTCTAAAATGGATAATAAAACTTGCTAAGTTGTAATCTCCCTGGTTTTATTAGTTATATTAAGATAAATTAAGTGAGATTAAAATCTTATTTGATTTATTTACCTTTGAAAATGAAGACCGTTTAAGGGTTACACATCCTCAGCCTTGGCGAGTGCGACCTCAATTAGTCAAGTCAGAATGTCTTTAAAAGCTTTGTGCTTATTGCTTCCAGCATGGAGCGAGGTGTTCATTAAGGTACCAAAATTCTCATAAAAAATCCAAAGTTGCACTAGTGAAAAAACGCTTAACAAGATGAAAACTGATCACATCTTTTTCAGAAAATCCAGTAGTTATTTTAAAACCAGTTTTTAAACAAGATTTGGTTTTGCATAGTTTTAACGTGCACTCAAGCAGCTTGATACCATTTGGACTCTTTAAACAGCATTTAAATCTACGGTGAGTATAATGGTACATTTAATTTTATACCATTTTTAAAGTAAGTTGTACAATGTTTAGTGTGACCCTTTTATGACAAGCATGGTTAAATGAATTCTTTCCCTGTTTACAACTATTTATGAAGGCCTTTTTAAATAAGAAAAACATGAAATTGTTAGCTCACACACACGAAATTTCTTTCAAAAGTTTATTTAGTATCAAGCAAGAGAAGATTTTGCTTAACACTACAGAACATTTCAAGACTTGAGTTACAAAAGAATACCACATTATTTGCACTTGTAATTGGCTTCCCTTTTTACGCATGTTGGCAAGAGGAAAAAGAAAACTAGCATATGGCTGAAAGATAAAATAACTAAATTCTATGGAAACCTTTAAAATGAAAGGTGAGGCTTGAGTTAAAAGAATAGATTAACATATTTAGTAAACCTATTTTTTTGTTTAACACTAGTTAATCAAAGTTATTTTTTTTCCTTTTGATGACCTATTTTTTCATATACAGATTGGAAATAACAAAATTTTACATGTCTTTTTTTTCTGCCCAGGTTGATGTTTCAACAAAGTAGTTTTAAGTTCCATCCATTCAGATTTAAAGCATTTTGATTTATTTAAAAAGGGATTGTTCATAGAAAAAAATTACTTTGAACAGTATACAGGACTGGTGGAGATTGGCTATTCACAACATCAGACAGTACAATCAGTATCTGCCATATGGCTGGTCTCTGTAGACGCCCTTTGCTGTCCTCGCTGAAGGTGCCTTGTGTCTTGAGTTAGTCCACTCCTCTTGACCTAAAATCAGTAAGATAAATCACAATTAGATCATTGCCACGGATCCCACTGTCTTCACTTTTCAGAATCTAATCTAGCCCTGAACCAATGGTGTAGACATCACATTGAAGATATATATCCCTCTCATACTATAAGAACACCCAAGGGAACTTACTTAAAAAAATTTATAAAACAATGGAAAACAATTGTCTCACTAGCAAAACTTATCATCATGGGAAGAAAAATGATTTTTGTATGTTATATGGCAACCAACTTTGCAAGAACTTTCCTCTTGGCTACTCATTTAACAAAAGCTCACAAGGTCAAGTAACAAATGGAACTGCCTTTTGCTAAACATTAAGACATTTACGAATGGGAAAGAGAATGGGAAAAGGATGACTTAAATTTCTTCTAATAGCAAAAACAAAGAAAACACAAATAAAAATAAGCAAAGACAACAGGAGAAAAAAACTGGAGAGCAAAATGGGAATGGGCAGACTGCAAATGAGAAATGCTGCCTGCCTAAAGGAAAGTTGCATTTGGTGGAAATTTACAACTCAATAAGATTTCGTGAATATGAAATAACTTAATGATATAATGTCAAATTTAAGAAATCATAATATAAAATCCATACTGGACAATGTTATTAATAACAAAGGACATTCTATCATCTTTATCTCCTGAAATTAAACGCCTGTTAAGCCTGAAGATAACTTTCATAATGAGTTATCCACAGGTCTTTGACATCAAACAGTTAACATCCCTGCTGCAACACAGAGCAATTTAAAAGCCATGTGTCCACAGAGACCAATTTAAAAAGCTGTGAAGGAAAAATGCTTAAAATGACCTCTTCTTTTGATACAAACATGTAATCAACGTCATTCCCTCAAGCAAACTTGCATCAATTTAAGTAGAGGGCATTCAGCAAGCCAATACATTTCTCTTAAGTGTCTGTTGCGAATTATGAAAAAAAAAATCCAAGGTACAGTCATCACTGCTTAGGGCAGGTGATACAACAAAATGCACTTCAAAAGAAACACTGGAAAATGTTTTTTCAGTTATGTTCAGGGAAATGTCATAACATCCATTAACCACAATCCTGATTCCCTCGCACTGCGTACTAGGCATTCATCAGAGCTCTGCAACTGATTGAGGCTTTCTGTTCTCTGATATCTCTGCCCTGAGGCAGAGGCACTTCTTACTATCATTATGTTACTGCCGCCAATTCTTTTAATTAAACCTGTCATCCTTTTGCATATTGAGATTCTGGACATGGGTTCCCCAGCATCTATACCAGCTCCCACTGAATTAAGAGGGCTTAGCTGTCTCCCTGTAAGCCTGATAGACCTTTGTAATCTCCTCCTTGGCTCAGTGCTTTTGCAACCTTTATGGAAAGACTCCCAGTGCAATTTTTTCAGAGGATTTGAGATTGGAAATGAATTAAAATATAAAGATGGGGTGGGGAATCACTTTAGAGCTATAGGCTCAACTGCTTCATTTCCCTTTACTGTCAAGAAGCAAAGACACTTCAGAAAGACCCAAGCTATCAAATGTTTTTAGTTTGGCAAACTAATCTATAAGAGAAAAAATCAGCACATGGCGATCAACCCAAACAGAAAATCTAAGTTCAGATTCTGAATTCATGCAATTTTCTAAAGTCTTTAGTCCTTTTTAAATATTAAATTTAAATATTAAAGGAGCCTCTGAAAATAGCTAGATATGCACAAATGAACTGAGAGGAAGCTACTGTTTCATTCTCAGAAAGTCTTTATGAATTCCCCTCCAATTAAGATCTTTAAGGTCTTTCTACAGTCATTACTCCTCTCTCTATATATTCTGGCTACTCACCGTAGGAATCATAAGTCTCCTCACTGAGTCCATGTCCGTAATCATAGTAATCAGCACCACTGTATTGAACAAAACAAAACACAGTTAGGAAAAGATGATTTGGCTGTGAGTTTAGATCTTTTTTTTTGGCAGCTGACCGTTACAGGGATCCAAACCCTTGACCTTGGTGTTACAGCATGGCGCTCTAACCAACTGAGCTAACTGGCCAGCCCCAGCTATGAGTTTAAATCATATTCAATAATTAATAAAGAACAAGCCTACAAACTGAAAGAAATTCCCACCGAGATGGCAGAGCTCTAAGACAGAAGCCTTAGACCTTAGGATTATCAAAGTTCTCTTTCTTAATCCCCCAATTATAAACAAGTACTCAGATTAAATGTTTAATTTCATCAGCACTGTTGCATTACCACCAGGAAGTTGCTGGCAAAAGGCGACATGGCACCACTGCCATATGTAACAGGAGAGCAGGTGAATGGAGCTCCGCAGTCTAGTCACAAGTCTGTTGTTACATATGGCTGAGGATCTCTTCAAAGTACAGGCCAATCTACGTTCTAATGCACAACATTCTTGAGACAGCAAGAGGGAGAGAGTTTATCATTGCCATTTTGCAGATAATGCAAAACAGGCAACATACAGACAACATATTTGAACTTGGAATAATACTTTATAGAAATAGACTTGTGGAAAAACCAGATTACTAAACCATAAGCATTATCTTGAGTACCCGAGGAAGGGCTTCCATTCACCCTCTCAGGCTTTCCTCTTTCCCATTCTACTTAATTTTGTAGAAAAACAATAATCCTGAATTTGTTATCTTGGACTGTCACGGAAATAAACATCCCCATTATTCCAACTTCATACAATCAAGTAAGAAGGTTTTTTTTTTACCAAAATGGAAAATGATCCAGCTTAGCTGTTTAACACCTTAGGAAGTCACAACATGAAGAACACAATCCTTGCTGGGAGTGCCCACTGCATGCTAGCTGCTGAGATCCCACCCAGAGTCATCACAACACCTCCGGCCTGAGGTAAGTGGAATTGACATATCCATTTTATAGATAAGGATACTGCAGATCAGAAAGGCTTAAGAAACCAGTCTAAAATCTCACTGAGAATAGTACAGCTGAATCTATCTGACTACAAAGACCACAACCTTTGATTATATACACACTTGGCTATCCCCCCCCATGTTTCCTTTCTCAGGTAAATGACACCAGAGACCACTCATCAAATCCAATGACTATAGCACAGTATGGCCATTCCTAGGAGGAAAAACATAAGCAGTGGGAGTTACATTCCTTTCTATATCAAGCATGTGGGATGGGTCCTCACATGTGCTACTTCTTCTGCCACAAATGTTCTTCTTTCTTCTCCAAGCTACTTCCTTCTCAGTCTTTAGCCTAAATGCCACTTCCACAGAGAATCCTCCCAATCTCCCAGGGTTAGGTCGGTTTCCCATTACAGCACACGTCCATTGTTTTTCATCCTCCTCCTGGTCTGGAACAGATCTGTATGTTCACATGTGTTGAGTGACTGGGTATATGGAGAAGGGGCACTTCTATCACGCTGGTGTGTCACGGATGACTTCTTAGAGACTGTAATGCTTGCACAGTGTTCTGAAAGACCAGGAGGTGATGAAGGGCAAAGAGAAGGAATGAATGGAGGTGATGGCAGCAAGCAACTTCCAGGCAGAAAAAACAATATATGCAAAGCACAGAGGCAGGAAATAAGTTGAAAAATCTGAGTGTCTATAAGAAGTTCCATCAAATAGAGTTAATAAGTATTGATAAAACGCCTGGGCCAGAATATTCTTCAGTATAAAATGCTTCCTCCACATACAGAATATAGACTACACCTTGTTATAGTGGTTTCATCACATCGTTACTAGTTAATGCAATGTAGTGTATCATACTGGCTGTGATGTGAGCTCTATGTATAACATAAGCTCTCTGGAATGTGCTACGTTAAGCTCCACTGGCTCTTTTAAATGTTACCCAGGAACAGAATAGTCACTCTTACTGCTGACCTACTACACCAAGTGCAATGTGCAATTTTTCCACAGAGGCACATGTAGCCATAAAAATTTTTAAAATGGCCTTCAAACTGAAGGCTGGCATTCCTAGAGGACCTAGATGAAAGGCAGGAAGGAACTGTGACAGCAATGGAACTACATATTGTGAGCTGCACCACTGCCACACTGATAGCTTCTCATGTTCACAACTCAATCTAAAACCCCCCCCCATAATGCTTTTATAGATGAGGCAGCTGAGGCTCAGAGAGGCTAAGCCACATGTCCAGGGTCACACAACTTAAATGGCAGCACCTATACTCAAAGCTTACGACACTACCATTGCCATGTGCTGAACACACATGCAGGAGGTGGGCTGGTTCACCATGGCAGGCCGTTTTATGAAGGCGGTTCCTGCTTTACTCTGACCTACCCTGTCGCTCTTCCAGAATTTCTCTTACTGGCTCCCCCTGGGGTTCACCTGATCCCTCCTTACACTCAGAAACAGAAGTCAGGGTCCATGTGAAACACTGCCACTTGATTACAGCAACTTGTAACTGCCTTAGTTCTCTCTCTCAACTCAAATTCCTCCTCTCCCTTTCTGTAGTCCTAATTTTCCCTCAAGGCATAATATATATTTACGGTGAGAAGAAAAGAAGGGGGACTAGCTGAAGAAAGAGAAGAGAAATTTTTACATTCAAAAAGATAAAAAAAAAAAAAAAATCCTGCATAGATAAAAGAAACTATGGCTTTCCTAGTTCTTAAAGTGTCACAACCTTAAATATGAGAATGCTATTAAAGGAGAATATTTTTCTTCATAATATATATTTACGGTGAGAAGAAAAGAAGGGGGACTAGCTGAAGAAAGAGAAGAGAAAATTTTACATTCAAAAAGATAAAAAAAAAAAAAAAAATCCAGCATAGATAAAAGAAACTATGGCTTTCCTAGTTCTTAAAGTGTCACAACCTTAAATATGAGAATGCTATTAAAGGAGAATATTTTTCTCTGTCTTGAGAATAGAAATTCAGACTCAATCAAACCTTTTGATAAAAAGTGACAGAGCGGTCAAGATATCTGTGTCTAAACTTGGGCCTTCATCTGCGGTATAACCTTGGGAGAGACACTCCCGCTTGCTGGATCTTTGTGTTTCATCTGTCAAATCAAAGGGCTGGTCTAGATGCTGCTGCGCCCTACTCCCGCTTGCTGGATCTTTGTGTTTCATCTGTCAAATCAAAGGGCTGGTCTAGATGCTGCTCAGATCCCCCAGCGCCCTTCCATTCTCCATGGCTCATTCACGGCATCTGCCCCAAAGTAGTCAACATAACTTCTCATTTTGTTGAAAATAAATTGGCTAATGCTTCTCTGTACTAAATTAAATGAACCTCAATCTTCTCCCCAAAGGTCAAAACTTACATCATGGTGGCTTCTCAGACAAATAAAACCTTGATGTTCTTGAGAATTTTTGTCTGTTGCACAAATAAAAATGAGAGTAATCTCTTCATAAAACTGAAAAGAATTTCCTTTACTAAGACAGTTCCCAATTGTTTAACTTGGAACAGTAAATGACAGGTACTGAGACTAATAAACAGAAGAGTCCAACAACTGCCTTTTGACCAAACTAAGCCGCTTTATTAAATGAAGTGAGCAGTAATGAACATCAGTATAGATTGGAAATTTGTCTGTGAAGTACTCTAACAGTTCAGCATAAAAAGAAGGGGCAGTAAAGAATATTTTCCAATGAACAGGAAGATAAAAGGTAACATAATTTGGTTCAGCAAAGGTTTGGTGATAAGACAACCTTAGCTTTGACAAGTGAAAACTTAAAACTGACATTTGCTATCATTTCACCCAGTTTCTGATCATTTATTGCAAGACTGTCATCAAGTGAGAAGCTGGCAGCAGCTGAGCCCCATTCTCATACCTGTCAGTTCCATCTGAATTGCTTTTGCAGCACTTCATTCTATGCACCTCAAATGTCTATTAACCAAAGACATGTCCTATTTCCCAAGGATAAACTAAAAACCCAACATATGGCAAAGACAAAGCAAAACACAACAAAACAAAAAACAAGAACACAAAATCTCTTCATTTATGGATACAATTTATAATATTAACAACAGGCAAGAAACACATTAGGCTGAATACTCCTCAACTCCATCAAAAAGGATCAGGGGAGCCCCTCCCTCAACATATCCAGAGCAGGTTTCTCTCACTGGCACTAATGACCACATCTCCCCAGGCCACCTACCCTCCCTTCACGCTCTGCCCATTACAAGGGGTCAAAGGAAGTCCAAGTACTCAGCATAATTTTTGTCTTTACCAGAGGTTCTTGATTCCATCAACCCCAGACAAGAAATAGCCCTTAGCACTGGCAGAAAGCCAGTTGTAGCACCGGGACCAAGTCCATGTCTCCCAAGGCCTTCTGTCCTCCATCTACAGAGGCCATAAAGAAAAGGACCACAAACTCTGAGCAGGGACTCCAAGTGAAATGAAATCCACCCATCTCTATGAGTAGAATGAAGAAGGAATTCCTATTATTTATCCTTCCTCTGTACCTTCAACCTGTTTGGGCCTCACCATCAATTTCTACTTTAAATCTGCTGGAACTAATCTCATTAGGCCCTTTGCTTGTACTTATGTCAGTTAAAGAAGCTCTAGAACACTAGGTCACTCTTAAACTCCAGCACACCTAAAGTTCTGCACATCCCCTGTCTGTCCTAATATCCTATCCAACTGCAATTCTCTTACTGTGCCCACTGGAATGCATGGCCCATCAGTGGCAAAATTCCCTATGTAGTCTCAATATCTTCTCTGAAACCTTCTCGCCCAATGAAAACTTGATTCACCTCTAGTGATAACTGTTCCCAGGCAGCCCTCTCCAGTTTTTTCTTTATCTCCCACAGCTGAGGTACTTGTCCTAGAGGAAAGGAGGGTGAATGTTCTCTTCACTAACTCTGTCCCCTAATACCTACACACCACAGCCACTTCCAGACCATCATGCTTCACTCCTGTACAAATACCCAAGCTTTGAATTCCCCAATAGCATCACT